TAATACAAATAAGTTGTAGATATCCAAAATAAGAACTACAGTCAAACCTCTTTAAGTACACCCTCTATAAGTACGCACACTCTCTAAATGAATGCTTAAATGCTGGCACAAATATATACTTGTTATTAAAGTGTGGTCCCAAGGGCGTGCACTTAGAGAGGTCTGACTGTAATAACAAATTAGGTATCTGACTAAGCCAATTACTACCTAATTACTATCTAATTGATGTCGATTTTTTGCTGCAACAAAAATTAGCATCAATTGAGTAATAATAGGGTAGTAATTACTTAAATAAATTACCAAATTTGTATCTAATTTGTTATTATTTGACTTGTGTAGTATACAACTGTTACAATTTTAACTATTATTTAATATTTTGAATAAAAATCTAATGCGAATATAGATAGATATTAATGTATATACTCACGTACAACTATTAATACAGTTTGCTAATAATCATGATAATGCTCAATTTCTACGTATAATAGGTCTCAATCAATGTATAAGCAACTATTATTGACTTTATTAATATTTTTTGAAATTTTTTTTTAATCGCTATTAGGTATGCTTTTCTTCAAAAAATTATCCCTGGCTCTCTTTAATATTTATACCTCTCGAAGTGCATGCCTTTGGGACCACACTTTAATAACATGCATATAGAGAATAACAAGAAAACTGCATTTATAGAGATCAAGTATATATTTGGGCTGCACTTGAGCGTGCATTTAGAGTGTGTGTACTTATAGAGAGCGCACTTAGAGAAGTCTGACTGTATATTGATAATATTTAAATGTTATTACACAATTGTTACCATAATGTATTATTAAAAAAGACTATTGTTAAGTTTTTTTAACTTTTATTTATTAATATTAAAAAAGTCGTAATACAGTCAGACTTCTCTAAGTGCATACTTTGTAAGTGCACAACTTCTCTAAATGCACGCTCAAGTGCAGGTCCAAATATATACTTAATCTCCATAAATGCACTTTTTCTTATTATTCTCCATATGCACATTATTAAAGTGTGATCCCAAGGGCATGCACTTAGAGAGGTCGACTATAGTGATACTATATATTAGAGCTAACAATAAAAGTTTATAGCAAATATATAAAACTGTTTAAGTATAAGGTTTTAATAAACAAGTACAAAAAAAACGATTATAAAATATATTTTTATTGAATTTTAAATTAATGCGTAATAATAAAGATTAATTATTTAATTATTATACTAATTTAAAAAATAATTAATTTTTATAAATATTTGATAAATATTAAATAGCAAATTAAAGAATATAGTCAGACTTCTCTAATTGTACACTCTATAAGTGCACATCTTCTCTAAATACACGCTCAAGTACAGGCCCAAACATATACTTAATCTTTATAAATGCACCTTTTCTTATTATTCTCTATATACACATTATTAAAGTATGGTCCCAAGGGCGTACACTTAGAGAGGTCTGGCTCTATTTGTATATTTTAACTTTTAATTTGTAAAAAATGTATTTGACAATAATTATATGATACAAGCCTAAAATAATATCCATTTGTATATTAAATAATCTGCATATTATTTTAAGTATACCTATATACAGTCAGACCTCTCTAAGTGCATACTCTTGGAACCACGCTTTAATAATGTGCATATAGATAATAATAAGAAAAAGTGCATTTATAGAGATCATGTATATATTTGAACCTGCATTTGAGCGTGCATTTAGAGAGGGTGTGCATCTATAGAGATCTGACTATATCTACAAATACACTTTTTCTTATTATTCTCTATACAAGCAGACCTCTTTAAGTGCATTCTCTATAAGTGCACACCCTCTCTAAATGCATGCTCAAGTGCCAACCAAATATATACTTGACCTTCATAAATGCACTTTTTTCTTATTCTTCTCTATATGCACATTATAACGTGTGGTCTCAAGAGTATGCACTTAGAGAGGTCTAACTGTATTCGGACCTGCACTTGAGTATGTATTTAGAGAAGGCGCACTTAGAGAGGTTTGACTGTATGTTATTTTAAAATAACAGATGATTTTATGAATTGCATCTCTTTGATTATAATAAAATTTAAAAACATTCTATTAATTATAATTAAATCTATATATATCTAAATATAAGATTATATAGCGATATATATTAATTTAGAATATTTATAAACATTAATTTGAGTCTATTAATATGTTATTTAGGGGTCTGATTTCTGAATTAAATGAGTATTATAATATTTTAACACGAATAACAATGTTTAATTACTATTCAAACTAATATTGAAACTTCAAATAATGCTATTTAACTACTATTTTGATTATTAATAATACTATTTAACTACTATTTTGATTATTAATAATGCTATTCATTCTTCTGTTTCACCGGTAAAAAATAAAAAAATTGATATGTCAAATAGCACTATTTGAATACTATTTGACATGCTATTCAATATGCTATTTAACTTATCACATAACTTTGCAAATATAAATGTCCGTGAAGTCATACCATGTAATGCAAATATAAATGTCCGTGAAGTCATACTATGTAATAGGTTGAATAGTGTATTGAATAGTATATCAAATAGCATTTAAATAGTGTTATTTAATATATTAAAATTTTATTTTTATTAGTAATTGAATAGCAAGTTTATAATACAGTTGGACTTCTCTAAGTGCACCCTCTATAAGTGCACATCCTCTCTAAATATACGCTCAAATGCAGGCCTAAATATATATATAATCTTTATAAATGCACTTTTTCTTATTATTCTCTATATTTATGTTATTAAAGTGCGAGTTAAAGGGTGTACACTTAGAGATGTTTAATTATATTATTTAACATATCAAATATCGGGTTAAATATTTTTATTTGACATGTTTTAATTTTTATTAGAATTGAATATAAGAAGATAGTCTAATATAGCCATACCTCTCTATGCGCACGCCCTTAGAAACACACCTTTATAACATGCATATAGAGAATAATAAAAAAAAGTATATTTATGAAAGTCAAGTATATATTTTGGCTAGCATTTGAGCGTGTTTAAGAGAGTGTATGCACGTGCACTTAGAGAGATCTGGCTGTATTAAAACGTATTTTTAACTAAGTTTGAAACTAAATTTGTCAAAATAAATTAATTTAACTATAATAATCGATTTATTAATAAATTAAAATTTTATAAATACTAAATGAAATATTTTTTGTTTTATTAAACAAAATGTCATTTAATGATACTTTATATGATTATAGCTCCAGTATCTGCCCAATTTGTCTTACATGTCTGAAATGTAATAAATCGCTTCAGACGAAATGTAAATGCCAACCATCTGAACTCAATTGGAGAAATCATTCTAATTGCAAGCTTGATTTTCAAAGCAAAATAATTACATTTGATGGTTATAAACAGCAAAAAAAAAATAGATTATACCTTTATTACTTGGCTCAATATATCCCTTTCTAGTAGAATTAATTTTTTAAGAAATCGTAATACTGTAAATATTTGCACAAATTGTATTAGCAAATATGAAGAGTATCAAAAATGCAAGTTATCTAATATATATATATTGATTAAATTATATTTTAAATAATATTTTAAACTTTTATAAATTAATTATTTTAGATAGAGTTGACCAAAATTGCGAAAACATTAGTTTAGATGAACTTGAAGATGATGATTTATATAAGGTTGAAGATAGTTTAAATACAATTGAAGATGATGATTCATATAGAGTTGAAGATGATTCTATTGATTTAACCAAATCAACATCAGAAGAATTTAGTAGCGATTATGATTCTGAAACTACAGAACTTAATAAATCTATTCGAAAAACTAAAAAAAATGCAAATAAATCATGTAAGTTATTTAAATATAAGTATATAACTTGTATGTTTAAATATTTAAGCTTAACTTTATATTATTATATTTCAGTATTTGTTTCTTTATTATGTTTCAATCAATTTCAGTATCCGCGAAAAAAAATTGATAGTGCAATAAAAATTTCATTTAATTTAAAAGTTTTAGCAATATAGAAAGTTTGGTTTTTTCTAGTGATTTTCCTGAAACATGGGGTGAAATTCAAACTGGTCTAATTTGTTATCAAACAATAAATAGTGCCAAAGCTGACCATTATGATCTTAGACAGAATGAAACAATGACATCTTTCTTAGAAGAAGTCTAGCGCAAAAAAAATATTCAATTGTGTGTCTATCAAAAAAAAGTAACTAAAAGAAAATTATTGAAATATGGAAGTTCATTGGTTGAAGAAGATAATGAGTTTAAAAAAACTAAGGTAACATATTACGTATATATATTTTTTTAATAGTTTAATACTAACATAAATAATAATAATATTATTAAAATATTTAATAGACTAATGAATCGGAAAATGAAACTGCCCAAGCTATAAATATTGCAATGCAAAAAATTTATAGAAAATTAGAAACTTGCGAAATTCACATTGAAGGCTGTTTGAGAGATGAAAATAATAAGCATTTAAAGTTAAATAATCAAATGATTAATATATGGGCAAGAGCAATGGTAATATGTAATATATATAATTTAGTAATATAATATTATTATAAATATTAACTAAAAGTATAAATATTTTTTATAGGTCGCTAAAATACCAAATATTAATGAATATACACCTCCTATGTTTGCGCAATTCGATAAATGTAACTATAAACCTTTATCTAAAAATAATATTTCTCCAAAATTATTAAATAATGGTATGTAAAAATAATTAATAAGTTTAACTTTTAATAATAATTATATTTTATTTATTCTATAAAATTATTATATTTATTTAGACAATGATTTAGACTTCGATATGAGCAATATACCAGTTGCTATGGTAGCTAGACGAACCAATTCAAAATTTAATTTAGTAACTCTTCATACTAAAAAAAAATCACCGTTCAGATCTAATATTTACATTACACAAGAAATGACATTTAATGATCTTATAAATTACGTATTTCCTACAGGAGCTCCAAATGGTAAAAGGTTTGTATTTAAATCCTCACTTGATTTAAATAGCAAACATTATTTACCCGAACAAAACATAAGTCAAATATCAACTGAAGAATGCTTAAATATTTGGATTGATATTGAACCAGTTGAAATAGATTTCAATGAATATTTTTAGCAAATTTTACAATTTTACAATTACTGTCCCAAATTCTAAATTTATGTTATTGTAAAAATTGAATTTTTTTTTATCATTATCTTTTTTCTTTTCTGTTTTCTTATTTGTTTATAAATTATGCTTTCTTTTAATATACGTAGTATAATTAAATTGAGAAAGAAATCTAGTTTTTATATATGATCATCTTTAGTTTAATTAATATAGCATGTTAAATGTGCTATTTATTTAGTATATTAGTATATTACCATTATATAATTACAAATTTAGTGTTGGATACGTAGCATATCTAGTGTGACGGCTTATATTAATACGTATATTAAACAATGTAACTAACTTGCTAGATAATACATACAACATGTATTAAGCACAAGCTTTCAAATAAAATAAAGACAGAGCTTATCCTAATAATAATAAAGAAAGTGGCTATGTAATTCCGAACAAACTTTTATTTTAAAAGTTGAATCTTGAACTCTTAACATAACCCTTACTTTTTTTGTAATTATTTTTATATTCAACTTGTTCAATAATTATTTAATCCTTCACACAGAATTGTTATTATAGTTTTCCCATAGTTTTCCCATAGTTTTCCCATAGTTATCTCTTAGTTATTTTTTATTTTTTTATTTTTTTTTTATTGGTTATTTTTTATTTTTTTATTTAAATTATTGTACTAATTTCCCATAGTTTTCCCATAGTTTTCCCGTAGTTATTTTTTATTTTTTATTTTTTTTTATTTAAGTTCTTGTACTAATTTCCCATAGTTTTCCCATAGTTATCCCATAGTTTTCCGTAGTTTTCCCATAGTTATCCTTTAGTTATTTTTTACTTTTTATTTATTTAAGTTATTGTACTAATTTCCCATAGTTATCCCATAGTTTTCCCGTAGTTTTCCCATAGTTATCCCATAGTTATTTTTTATTTTTTATTTTTTTTTATTTAAGTTATTGTACTAATTTCCCATAGTTTTCCCATAGTTTTCCCATAGTTTTCCTGTAGTTTTCCCATAGTTATCCTTTAGTTATTTTTTATTTTTTATTTTTTTTTTATTTAAGTTATTGTACTAATTTCCCATAGTTTTCCCATAGTTATCCCATAGTTTTCCTGTAGTTTTATATAGTTATCCTTTAGTTATTTTTTATTTTTTATTTTTTTTTTTATTTAAGTTATTGTACTCATTTCCCCTAGTTTTCCCATAGTTATTTTTTATTTTTTATTTTTTTTATTTAAGTTATTGTACTAATTTCCCATAGTTATCCCATAGTTATCCCATAGTTATCCCTTAGCTATTTTTTATTTAAGTTATTATACTAATTTCCTATAGTTTTCCCATAGTTATCCCGTAGTTATCCCTTAGCTATTTTTTATTTAAGTTATTGTACTACTTTCCCATAGTTTTCCCATAGTTTTTCCATAGTTATTCCTTAGTTATTTTTTATTTAAGTTATTGTACTAATTTTCCATAGTTTTTCCATAGTTATCTCTTAGTTATTTTTTATTTAAGTTATTGTATTAATTTTTCATAATTTTTCCATAGTTTTTCCATAGTTATCCCTTAGATAATTTAAATTGTTTTTCATAGTTTTCCCATAGTTATTCCTTAGTTAATTTAAATTGATTTCTATAGTTATCCCATAGTTATCCCTTAGTTAATTTAATATTTAACATTTTTCTATTTAAGTTATTGTATATATGTTATTTAAAATATTCCATTGTTTCTTATAGTTTTCCTGTAGTTATCTCTTAGTTAATTTAAATATTTAACATTTTTCTATTTAAGTTATTGTACTATGTTATTTAAAAAATTCTAGTGTTTACTATAGTTTTCCCATAGTTATCTCTTAGTTAATTTAAATATATACAGTATTCAAGTTATATAATAAAATGATTTCACAGTTTTCCTGTTATTGATCTTTTATATATTACAATATTACACTTTAAGTTATTACACTTTAAGTTACAAAATGACAAGTTATAGATAAATTTTTTTATTAATACATATCGATATAGTAATTAATTAATTAATTAATTAATTTATTTATTTATTTGTTTATTTTTTTATACTACATGTAGTAATATTTACTACATGTAATAATATTTACTACATATACTACAATTATGGTTTCAAAAAGTCTTTGTAAAATATATGTAGTAAATATAATTGTAGTAATTAGCTAATTATAGCAACATGCTTTACTCTAAACTAAATTAGTAATTATATATTATTATGTTATAGATAACAGATTTATACTATACTGAAAAATAGAAGTAATAGGTGTGTTATAAATTTTATACTTAAGGGATAAATTTGAAACAGGGCAAATTATTTGATTTGTCAATTGTATAATTTTAGGTGCAAGAAAATCTTGGTTAATATTTTTTTTTGAAAGGGCATGCCTTCTAGCTTAAAGGCATGCCCTTGTACATGCTTAGGGGCATGCACAAGAGGGCATGCCTTTGCACCCTGTGCCTCTTACTCTAGCCAAGATGAAAATTATTTCCCGGGTGAAAATTGGTAACAATATTATGCATACATAGTAACTATTGAAGAGTACCTGAATTAAAAGAAAGAATTAAAGTTGCTAAGAAAATATTGCTTTTAGGTTAGTTCGAAGGTCTTGTGATTACATAGTTTGATCATGATCATCGGGTAATAAATTAATTGAATCAAGAAATATATCAGTGGTAATGATAGTGATATATAAAAATATGTAGAGTTAAAGTTAGTTATCGTATGAGTAGATTAGTAATGATAAATAATGTAATTGATGAAAATAAAATATGTAAGAAAAATAAAGAAAATTAGTTATCTCTCTTGTGCTTAAAAATAAGTACTAGCTATCGAAACCCTTAACTTCATATTTAGATATTATGCTTGACTTTATTCTTGACTTTATTCTGATGCTTATCAGGCCATGGCAATGATGAAGAACAATTGTGCTTAACAGATTTAAATAAAGTAAATTCTACTTGAAAGAAATCAAATATTATACGTATACTGTATTATTCATAAAATTTTATTTATTTACTGAATATATTTAAAATTAAAGTGTTTTGGATGTAAAAGTGCGGATTCTATTATTCTCCTTATGAATGAATATTGTTTTAAGCCCTATAGTGAATAACATATAACATTTACTATGTAATAATGTTTTTAAAAAAAGAATATCAAGTTTATATGAACAAAAATACTAAATACAAACACATAACGACAGCATTCATTATGATCTATTTACTAATTATAGGTTATAGCCTTATGATCTTACTCACTACTCTGGTAATACACAATATATGATTAAGTTTGTATCAGAATTATTGTAAAAAAATCTGTTATAGAAGTTATATGTTATTCAGTGATACAGTATGCAATTACGGTTAAATTAGTTAGTATTAGGATTATTATACTTTTTATTGTAAGTTGACTGTAAAATATTGTTATAAAACTTACTTGCTATTCTGATAATATATAGTATATAGTTAAAATTGTATTAATTTTATAACAAAAATTTATAATATGACTTAATAAAATTTTAATAATTCTAATACAAACTAACTTAACTTTAATTATAAATTATTGCAATTAGAATAGCAAATTTTATTATATATAGTATATAATAGAAATTATAATAATTTTATATTAAATTTTATTAAATTGTAAATTTTATAACAGGTTTTTTATAACAAGTTTATAATAAAAATTATACTACAAATTAACTACAATATAACAATTATTGCAAATATCCACTATGCTTAAAACATGCTT